AGTATACTTGTCATACTATACTCTTATATGTCATATTTGGTATACTTGCATACTATACTCTTATATACATATTTGGTATACTTGCATACTATACTCTTATATACATCCTTGGTATACTTGCATACTATACTCTTATATACATCTTTGGTATACTTGCATACTATACTCTTATATACATCTTTGGTATACTTGCATACTATACTCTTATATACATCTTTGGTATACTTGCATACTATACTCTTATATACATATATATTATACTTGCATATTATGTGTGCACAGATCGAAATGCTCATGAAATCATAACGGACGGTTGTAGGTACTGGTTTGCGGTGGCGGTTATAGTGATTAGCACCAATCTAGAGCAGAGCAGGCTGAGCAAGATGACCAGCATCGTCCGCGCGGCAACTGAATCTGAGGATGAGGAACCCCTTCTGGTGTGTATACCAAAAGGCTGATTTGTATTTTGATGTGCAGAATATGCGATGCACATGTTGTCGATTTGGTGTGTACTTTTACCGAGAATTGAAAGTACTCGTTGATTGCGAGTTGCGTATATGCGATGTCAGCCAATGTTTTGTTTTAGAAGCCTGTCCTGGAAGTTAAACCTACGCACAACAAGCAATCTCGCTTATACCACTATTCACTCCGAGAAGCTCCATAGACTGTTTTAGGGCCTATATCAGTTGCGCAAGAAAACAGATGATTAGGAGTTAATAGTACCACCCAACCGGCAACGCTAATGCTTACGATATACTCTTTATCCTCAGCCAATTGATCCTCCGAGGCAAACGAAGGAGGAGATTGCACAGAACCAGAACTCGTGGCACAATCTGTTGGCTCTGTTGCGCATGGCCGTGCCGGATTGGAACTTACTGGCCCTGGCCATCGCTGCGCTTTCCATCGCCGCCATATCCGAAGCGTTTATCCCGCACTTGACCGGTGTGTGCGTGGGGGGTGTAGCGACTGTACGCTTATGCGGCGTTGGCGGTTTTATTGTTTTAAGTTTCCTTCTAATCGGATGCCTAGAAGTTTCATGTTTTCAATAGTTTAGAAGGGAAAGGTGCACTCTGCAGTGCTTTGCGACTATTTCAGGCTTATTGCTGTCGATATAGACCATGTATGTTATCATCGCTTGCTCGCAAGACACCTACTAATGTACATCTATTCTGTGGATTATTACTGTGGTCGGTGATTGGTACAGGGCAAATTGTGGACTTGGTGGCTATCCAACACAATGTCGACAAGTTTATGCACCAGACGACCATCCTCATCATCGTGTGTCTGACTAACGCCATATTCGCTGGTGTCCGAGGAAGCATCTTCACATACTGCACTGCTAATATGCAGGTACGTCTATGCATGCATGTGTATTGTTATACCTAACTGGCTGTGCTTGTGCGCACCTCTCCTAGCTATGTGAGCGTACGAGCATTGCCATACTTTGACGACTTCCCCTAAATTTGCGATGAGTCTCGCTAGCTACTGGTCTTTCGATATAATTCCGTTCTTGAGGAATGTCAGCCCAATACTGTGGACAATGATGTGGTGCCTTACACCTCCTATCCCCTTTCTAACCGCGATATCAACTGTCAAAAAAAAAATTTGTCATCCGCCCAGGTCCGCCTCCGCGAGCGACTGTTTGAGACGCTGCTGCACCAAGAGATTGTATGTCCTTCAATTCGCATCATCTCTTCGTCGTTCTTTTCGTTTTTATATTGTTGCATGATTTTAAAATGAATTTTAGAACTTCGCAAGTATAAGCGATATATCTGAATGAAGTTCGAGGGTCTGCGAGCCTGTTCCATTTCCACGTTTTTACTTTCCTATGTCAAATAACAAGCGGAATATTACTATGTGCAGGGGTTCTTCGATATCAGCAAATCGGGCGACATCACTTCAAGGTTAAATACAGATACAACAAAGGTAAGCGTAGAGTTCCGTGTGCGTAATCTAGAACATGCGCCGAGTTTTCCATGCAAGAGCCTGACTTCCATGGCGTCCTTGCTTTTATCTCATCACGATTTTTCTTTCTTTTTGGCATTCGTCTTGAGGCGTCAGATCAAATTGGCCTCAACATGAACATCACCATCCGGTCGGTGTTGCAAGCCATCGGGGTGCTGTGCTTCATGCTGTGGACCTCCTGGGAGCTCACGTTGGTCACGTGTGTGATCATCCCCATCGTCATTGTGGTTAGCAAGGTTAGTCACGTCATACAATCACCTGCTGGTTATATTCAAATATGTCGTCTGTTGCTATGGTTTCGTTCATGCCTTAAAGTGTGAGTGACTGTCCAGTACTTTTCTACCGTAGCAACTTAGGTGAAACTACACTTGGTGTACTGAAGCTGAACGCGGTAGTGTAATCCCGCTACGACGGAATGGATCCGGTATGAAGCTTGCAAGCTGAACCGACTCTCATTAATCTCATACGGTGTCCATTGCTTGGCTCTGTCATCAGTTGTTTGGCGGATACTTCCGAATGATCAGCAAACAGGCGCAAGAACAACTGGGAGACGCAAACTCGGTGGCACAGGAGACCCTCTCGGCTATGCTGACTGTGCGCGCGATGGCTGGGGAGGATAGCGAGATGGTCAGGTACGTCTCTAAAAAAACTTCTCTATAAATACTACAAATACGATATTTTTGAGTTATACAACTCTACTGTTGTAACCTTCAATCACTATGCAACTACCTGGAGCCTGTTGCGATTGTTGTATAATCTACCCTCGTCCCCTACCCCATTGTTCGGGACGCATGTTTTGGTTTTCTCGGAGTCTTTTCATGCTATGATGCGTTGAGTTTGCTCTTGTGTCTTCTCAGGTTCAATTAGCGTGAGCAGTGTTGCACACTGTGACTTTGTGATTGACGTAGGGTAATATCGTTGGGGTTTGGGCGTGGCATAGGTACCCGTTGTATGCGGATTAAAAGTTTAATAGCACCTAGCACAGCAAGCATATTGCTGACGAGAGACACCATCTATACACACACTCGATTATAGTAGCGATGCTCTACACACGAAATCGATTTTAAACCAGAAGAACACTCACATACGACTCCTTATGGGGACTGCATGTTATTCGAAAAGTGTACTAAATACGTGGTACTTGGATAGAGTTGGGTACGCATAGACGTATGTATTGTCGATTTATATCATTGACAGTACACAAATAAACCTTTGATGCCATCTTCAACTGAGTCATAGGTCGCGTTGTGATGATAAATCTATCGGCGACCCTGTCATACATCACAGTCACAGTGTGCATCATAATCTGACTTCGTATATGTCCTGTCACTGTTCCAGGTATCAGGCTGAACTGATACACTACAAGCATACCAACAAAAAGAAGGCCATATCATACCTCTTTTACTGTGCAATTGCCACGATGCTACCCAATATGGCCACCGTTCTGGTGATATTTTATGGCGGGAAATTGGTTATCCAAAGTATGTTTAACTGAGTGAGTGATTCATCGCATTGCATCTGTCATACCTCCCATATATACTGCATACCTACACAATGAGTTAGGAAAGTTGCTTATATCTTGAACGTCTCCACGATCGCCTATATGTAAGGGACGGACTCACTCAAAAACCACACAAGTATCTCCCGTTATTTGCCCTGGTTTAGTCTAATTCGGTTGTGATGGAAAGCCTTGCTTCATCATCGCATCGACGTGAGCCGTCAAAACGTTAACCTGTGATATTTATCGTCCCGTGCACAGATGAGATCAGTGGCGGCAATCTGGTGTCCTTCATGCTGTACCAGCAAAGTCTGTCGAAGGCTTTCACACAAATCTCAGACATCTACACGGGGGTGAATGAGGCGCTGGGAGCGGCCGATAAAGTGTTTGAGTACATCAACCGCACCCCCTCCTTCGCGTTGAAAGAACGAAATACATTCACACACATACCTACACACGGCGGGGACCTCAGCGATAAGGATAGTCAGGGTGCTGATAAGCAACACAATCACAGTGGCAAGGATACAGGTAGCACGACCAAGCCCACAGACGATATCGCTGGGAGGAAGAACTATGGGAGTGTCGCCAGTACGGAAACTTCCACTAAGTACACCACACCCGCTGGACGGTATGACGAAGAACAAGGGCTGCTGCACCCATATAATACACAGTCCAACACAGACTCGAATGCGAAGTCGCTGACAACCACGAGTTCTCAAATAGTGAAGGGAGAAAGTGAAGTAGATACCACGATACGCGGGGACATTGAGTTCCAGCAGGTGTACTTCAGGTATCCGTACGTTACATATGACTTACATTTGAATCTATTTCTTAACGAGATCTATATATCCAGCACGTATGCTTACACATTCACTTGCAAGGATCAGTATATATGCAAATGCAACATATCTATAGTTATATCTATATATATATATATATTGAAAAAACTGCTGCACAGCGGAGAAAGCGCACGTGTCTATGCCCATTTACGATAGTTTTGTTTCGTATTCAGGTGTAGATACCGTATACATATATATGTATGTATGTATATTTTTATGTGTTTGTACATATATGTATGTATATATATGTATATGTATTGATACGCACACACATACACGCACACACACACATGTATATATACATTGTTCTATTGTTATATTGTTATATATATATATTGTTATATTAATATATTGTTGTATTGTTATATATATATATATATATATTATATTGTTGTATTGTTATATTTTTGTTTTGTTATATATATATATATATATAAGTATGTATGCATATTCTTATGTGTGTGTACATATATGTATATGTATTTGTATCGATACGCACACACTCACACACATGTATAAATATATTGTTATATTATTATATCGTTCTATTATTCTATTTTGATGTTGTATTGTTATATTGTTATATATTGTTATATATATATATATATATATATGAGTGTATATATATATATATATATGCATGTATTCATTTCGTGTGTGTGTGTGTACTTGTACGTATTTCGGGATTTATGTTCTCAAAGCCTGATTGTACTGCCAGATCGAAAAATATTAAGTCCACAAGCAAGTAAAGGCATACGCCACTTGAGATCGTGTATTGTGACGTTACGATCAATACATCGACAAGTATCACACACCTGTGTTTTTTCGTAGTGACCACACGTGGGAAGAAGTGACACTCATTGGTCTTTTTCCTATCTGGCATCGTTTCTGTAGGTATCCTGCACGCCCGGAGGTGATTGTGTTGCATGGGCTCAATTTGAAGATCTCGGCAGGGGAGTGCGTGGCGCTGGTGGGACCCAGTGGCGGCGGCAAGAGTAGTATAGTCAATCTAATCCAGCAGTTCTATAGACCGTCCAGTGGAAGAATTTGTATGTGAGAGTCATACGTACGCTGTCGTCTGTTTTTATATGTTGTTGTGTTCACCTATATATATATTTTGTTTTTTTGTGTTCAACGTGTATAGCTGTGGGGAAGAAATATACTATTCGTATACAGGTCATAGAGCAGGCATTCCGGTATTTGAATTTGATTGTTGTGTATTGTACTAGATTGTATATGACACACTACTTGATGCCATTGTACTAGATTGTATACGACACACTACTTGATGCTATTGTACTAGATCGTACATGACACACTACTTGATGCTATTGTACTAGATTGCATATGACACACTACTTGATGCTATTGTACTAGATTGTATATGACACACTACTTGATGCTATTGTTCCATCGTCGTATATGACGATTCACTGTCACGGGATTCTTATATAAGGCAATACAAAGCCTGCGTGTGGAAAAACTTGTCGTAGAAATAAGCATCACTGTCCACTTATTCTCCCACTTCCCTTAAACCCTAAACCCTGTACACGTGCAGTGATTGATAACCATCCACTCTCGGAATATGGACACGAGTTTCTGCATACGCACATCGGACTAGTGGGGCAGGAACCAGTCTTGTTCGCCAGGTATGTTGTGCTATACAGCGCTATGGTGGCCAGAGGCCCTCGCAATCGCTACCACGCAATACACGCATGTCACCATACTTGGATCGTTTTTTTTTTGTTTCTATGCGAGGTTTTGTACGATTCGGAGTTTTTCTTCTATGCGAGGTTTATACGATTCGGTTTTTTGTCTGTGCGAGGTTTCGTACGATTCAGTGTTTTTTGTCTATGCGAGGTTTTGTACGATTCGGGTTTTTGTTTCTATGCGAGGTTGATACGATTCGGTTTTTTGTCTGTGCGAGGTTCCGTACGATTCGGTTTTTTGTGTCTATGCGAGGTTTCGTACGATTTGGTTTTGTGTTTGCTCCATAGATAGCACCCGCAGCATTGCACTGTTAGAATATACGCTGTAAATGTCTGTTATATGACCACAGGACGTCACCTGTTGAAGAGCATGTCAACCGGTGATTACAGCCTATCGACAACCTCACTGGAACAAGCAATGTAGTGCAATGTATAAATGAACAATACCTCACCGCATTACGTGCCTTCTAGGTCCATATATGAAAACATTGCGTACGGTTTGAAGCATAAGCCGACGCAAGAGGAGGTTGAAAGCGCTGCCAAACTTGCGAATGCGCACCAGTTCATCTCCGAGCTGCCAGATAAATACGATACAGAGGCTGGCGAGAAGGTATGACTGAACGAGAATATTGGGCGTGTGGTGCTTTTAGGTACAATGCCGTCTCCATATAGCTCTTCTCCTCTAGTTTGGTATGCTTCGCCAGTTGAAGGTGCGGTGGCCAAATATTTTGCGCCCATAGATTTGACAGTGCTTGGCGTTGTGTGGTTGAATCATTACATTGCGCATGCGAGAAAGTGCGCAGTCATATGGTGTGAGGTTCAGGTCGTCTGCAATCCTTCAGTTGAACGTATAGGTGCCATGTTTTCATGTGAACGTGTTATCTGATGGTATTGAAACCCAAGAGTATTTACAGCGGCCGGCCAGATGGTATCGAACGCATGTTCCCCCTGTGCTATTTCTACTCCCAACCGTGTGCATACATGTGGTTTGCTCTGCTCCGTTATGTTGTACGAGCGGTTGTCGACTTTAATTGGTGCACACGAACCCCGAATCTGATGTACGGTTATCTGATCTTAATCTCTTGTTTGTTTTGTGTATGTTTGTTCTATTGCATTGTCTCTATTCTATGACACCACCAACAGGGCGTTCAATTGTCTGGAGGCCAGAAGCAACGGATAGCTATAGCACGCGCGCTTGTGAGACATCCTGCGGTGCTGCTTCTAGGTACTGTTATACCAACGATTGAGTCAATCCCACTGTTATACCAACGATTGAGTCAATCCCACTGTTATACAAACGATTGAGTCAATCCCACTGTATTACAAACGATTAAATCAATCCCACTGTATTACAAACGATTGATTCAATCCCACTGTTATACAAACGATTGAGTCAATCCCACTGTTATACAAACGGTTTAGTCAATCCCACTGTTATACAAACGATTGAGTCAATCCCACTGTATTACAAACGATTGAGTCAATCCCACTGTTATACAAACGATTAAGTCAATCCCACTGTTATACAAACGGTTTTGTCAATCCCACTGTTATACAAACGATTGAGTCAATCCCACTGT